TGTCCAAACAAATAATGTATTTCATAAAGGAAGACATAGTTTTCAGTCAACAGTTGAGATTCACTGGGCCCTACAATAAATCATCGAGAAGAGGGCAGGGCCTCTAGCACCTTGAGTTTGAGGACCAGCCCTGCCTCTTCTCCTTGTGATCCTGGCAAGTGACTTAACTTCTCTGTGCCTCAGTTTCCTCCTCTGTAAAGTGACAGGTTTTGTGAAGATGATGAAGTAGGGTTTGTCAGGACTTGAGGGGTTTTCCAGGACTTGAGGGCTATACCTGGGAAAATCCCAGGCAAACCGGATGAGCTGATGGCCCTAAGATGAAATGAGAGCAGTGACGTCAGCACCTTGAAGCCACACCTGTGCTGACCGTGATGCCCACAGTCCCCGCTGCTGTCTCAAAGCTGCCTCCAGCCACCACCTTACAGCCTTACTCGTGACCATGGCTGCCGCTTCCTCATCATCCCTTCCACAGGACCTTCAAGGCACCTTTTATTCCTATGACACCTCTGACATGACACATCCAAGTCCCCAGTAATGTTCCTGGCCATTCAAGGGACAAGTTTCAAAAGAATTTATCAGACACCAGACCAGGCCAGCACCTTTTCGATGAGGCCTGTGTCTTCTCCTCTGCCTCTTCCTTCACTCTCAGGTGACGGCTTCCTCCAGGGCTAGAGCAGGGAGAATGCCCGCTGATGATGGGGCCACAAGCCAAGGATGCCAAGGACGGCGCCCACCACCTGGAGCGGGGAGAAAGGCCGGGAACAGGTTCTCCCTCGCGGCCTGCCACAGGGACCAGCCCTCACATTTCTGCTCCAGCAGAAGGAGAGAACAAGGTGCTGCTGTCTGAAGTCACTGGTCGGCTTGGTGACCACGGCCAGGCACAGCAAAGACCAACGCAAGTCCAGACTCCCTGACCTGTGTCCTGACAATAGCAGGGCCTCATCACTGGTTCCCAAAACTCCCTTTCCTCACAAGGGAGTTCCCAAAACTTCCTTTGCTCTCTCTTCAAAGGCCAGTTTCAACTCCCAGGTGAGAAACCTGCAGTGACACCAAGCACGTCAGCATTACCCACACTCGTGGAACCCCGCAGATGCTGGTTAAAATGGCCGGTCCCCTCAGCCCCATGCCAGACCGCAGAAATGGGATCACAGGAGGGGGCCTTGGAAGCTGCATTTTTAAGAAGCACCCAAGATGAGGCTTATCCTGAGGCACGCGTGGGACCCTCCTGCATGTAAGATCAATCTGGAAGAGACCAAAGATCTTGGGTCAAAGACACCGTCAAAGGGCCCCAGCTCCCGGCCGGAGTGTCATCTCCCAGGCTCTCCAGAGTCTCCGATTCCCCTGGCGCCCATCTGCCTTCCCTCCTCCAACCCAATCATCCCCCGCTCCAGCCTCCTGCTCTCCCCGGAGCAGCACCTGTCCGTGCCGCCCTCTTCCAGGTCAGTGCAAGTGCCCTGGACCTTAAAGTTGCGTCTAATTATCCAGAGATGGCTTCTTCAGAGAACTCAGGATAAAACCATATTCCTTACCCGGCCTGCAAGCCCCTGCGTGAGCTGCCAGTCACCCCTGCAGGTTCCCGCCAGGGGCCTTTCTTCTCTTTGCTCTCAAAGCTCCAGCCTTAGGTTTTGTGTCAAGTCCCGCAGCACACCACACTGCCCTGCTGGTCCGCGACACATGCTCCTGGCTCTCCTCAACACTCCTAATGCTGGTTATGACCTCCCGAGACCTTTGCTACGACCTATCCTCGGCAGAACACACACCCCCCCACACACACCAACATTTAAAAGTCAGACAGGTCCGCATGACAATGTCCAGCCTCTCTTAGAGCCTCAGAAGAGCTGCAGGACCTCCCACAAGGCTGGAGCTACCGCGACCCCGGGAGCCCTCTCACCCAGCTGCACTGCTTAGTTGCCCGCCTGGCCCTTGGGTGTGTAATGCTCTCCTGCTTCCTCCCAAATTCGGTTCACTGGCTTATTCTCACCTGTCTCCCTGTGCAAAGGGATGGTTTTATTTATGCCCTGGTGAGGTGCCGCGGACCAGCACAGCAGTAGACGATGAGGCCGTCTCAGGGTTGAGAGACTGCGCAGGGTGGTCAGGGATTTGGTTAAAGAAATGACAAACAGACACACTTCAAGAGTGAAAATCTGACCAGCCTCTGCCTGTGCCTGGCCCAGAGCTAGGTCTCAATAACAGCTGCTGAATGAACAAATGAACACTAGTCATCCTGCCTCCTGGAGTCCCACAGGCCACACCACTCATTTTGCCATTTAATCACACCCTTCCCTGCCACACTCATTAATTTGCTGCCCCCAGCGCCTACCTCCTCCAGAGGTCTTATTAAAATACAAATCTGCTCCTTTGCTGGCCCAGTTTTAAAGATCCTAGGAGTTTCCCAGCACTGACTGGAGCGTGCACAGGGTGCCCTTGAGATCCTCCTCACCTGGCTCCCCCCATGCTCCAGCCCCCGCCCCTAGAGAGCCCCCCCTCCCCAGCCCAGCCCAGCCCAGCATACCCTCACGCCCCCTCCATGGCTGAGGAACAGCCATGTCCTTTACCCGCCCCCACACCGCTGCCTGCCTGCTCCCTCAGCCCGGCCTGCCTCCTCCCCCGCCATGCCTCTAGCAAACTCCTACTCATTCTTCAGCCCTAGCGCTAACCAGTCTCTTCACCCGTGAAACACTCCAGACCCCCCCTTCCCGTGACTTAGTCATGCTCTCTTTTCTGCTCCCCCTCCTTTCATACCCTGGCCGAGCACTGAGTAATGGCCCTGAGCGGCCGCTGGTGTCTGCTGAGTGCTTGCTGTGTGCCAGGCACCGTGAGCTTCATCTCCTTCTAGCCTCCCGCCCAGGGGAGCCCTGGCCTGGAAGGCTTCGCCCCTCCCCCCGACCCTCACCTGGAGAGAGAGGATTGCATTTGCACCTCAACTTCTCCAACAGGCCCTCCCTCACCAGCCTATTTTAAATGTTCTTTCTCCTTCCATGCCTCACCCCACCCAGGCGTCCCCACCCTGCTTCCCTGCTTTATTTTTCTCCCATCACTAACGCAGTGTAGACTTCCACCCAGTGATTGATGTAGCCTGTCTGTGCCCCCTGAAATGTCAGCTCCAGGAAGATAGGGGTTCTATCCTGTCTTTTTTAGTACTACACACTTCACCATCCAGAAGAGTTCCTGACACCCAATAGTCCACAGTAAATTGTTGCTTATTCAGAGAAGGTAACTCTGACATCTTCACATTACTCCTGAAGAAAGCGGACTTTAGAGAAATGTAGAGAATCCTGTAGCTGGTTGGTGGCACAGGGAGGTATGATCTCCAGCTGGTCAACTCCAGCAAGCTTTCCTCCCACAGCCCTGACCTTCATTCCTGGGCCCACCGCTTCTCTCCGTGGATCTGACTTCTCCGCTAGACTTGAATTCTGTTGTATTCATATCTGTGTTTCCTTACCTGATATTTGTTGAACCAATCTAACTGTGAACTGTGAAGCATCAGAATGTAGGAATCATATCTTCATTCTCTTCTTTAATTATCCTTTATCTCCATGTTGCTCTCCATGCCAAGCAAAGGCCCAGTGGGGGCTTAAGAACTACTGATTAGATCAATGAATTCTATTATGGCAGCAGGTAATAAAAATAATTGGACAGAAAGAGTGACAGCAATGGTGACATATATGAGTCCTCACTACCTGCTGGACCCTACCCTAAGTGCTTTGCATGTGAAGAAGACAACCAATTCTCTTATTTTTACAGAGGAGGAAACACAGGCTCAGACAAGTTAATTGCTTGCCCGAGTTCACATAGCCAGGAAATAGCAGAGACAGGATTTGAATATGGATGGAATCAATGTCTTCATATCACTGTAAGGTTGTCCCTGAGCCTCTCTGAGATGTCCTTTAAAAACCTCTCTGTGTGAACAAAAGGAATGATTTATTACCCATTTCTGCTTTATTTCAAGGAGTTTCTTTTAAAAAGCTTTGGTAAGAAATATTGTTTGCTAGGTAATAACCACTAATATTCACCCCACATTGATGGTGTCACGCATGGTTTCTTAGCTGATCCCCCAAGCAACATGAGGAGATGAGGTCAGCCGTCAGCTGATTCCTCTTATAGAGGAGAAATCCAAGGCTTTGAGCAGTTTCAAGCAGGGTCAAGGTCAGCCCGCCAGCAAAGAATAGAGCCAGTGCTCAAGTGAACATCTAACACCTAAAAAAATTACGTTCTTAGTGTCTCCAAACATGCTACTTAGAGTAAATAAAATAATTTGTGGGAAAGCACTTAGCACAGTCGCTGGCATCAGGTAGGACCCTCATAAATGCTGGTGCTCATCGGCTTCATCAACACCTCCTCGGGTGGAATGTTTCGGCTGAGGACTCGAGTCTGTCCGCGGTGCCTGGCAGAAACATCACCCTTTTCATTCCAGTTCATCCCTGGCAAAGTGGAAATAATGCTCATTCTCCATTATCCCCGGGGTACCACAGAATGTTAAGAGCTGGACTGAACCGAGGGGATGATCTCATCCGGCGCCTGCATCTGCAGATGGAGATTGAGTCCCAGACCGGGGGAAGGCCAGAAAGCAAACTCCTCCAGGGCAGGGCTGAGGTACAGGGGCTGTCCCACACCACCTCCCACCAGGATGGGTTTTTACCTAAAAGGGCATCTCATTTCTTATAGGCTACAGGAGACAATTCATTCGTTTCCCAAGCTGGGAGCAACCCCCACACCCCCACACAAAGCACTAAAGTGTCATAAGCTATTAACCAGAAAGCAAGCCATGTGACTTAATTCCACCTCTGCAAAAGGGCTTAAAATGCTTTAGTGAGTAGTCCGAGATTCATAAATATACATTTCGCCTCTTTCTCAGAGAATTATTAACCAGCTCCATCAAAACTGGGGCTTGAGTAATCAAGGAGAAAAAGAGGTACAAGAAAACTTCTTGGGAAAAAAAAAATCTCACCACCAGTATATATGATTTCTGGCCACCTCTTTCTCTTTTTCTTTTTCTTAAGAGTTGAAGGAGGAAGAAAAGAAAAAAAGTTTCTGCAAAACGCGTGTCAACAAAGTGAACTGTGGAAAATTACAAACTCTTTCCACCTTCCAAGGTAGAATCCAAGAGAACACAACAGTGTGTTACGTTTTAGAAGCACTCAAGACACGAGATCTGAAAAGGAGGATAAAGCAGAAGTGAAACCCTCACTAATTTCTTTCAGAGGGTGGTGATGAGATGGAGCGATCTGACAGTGTGTAGGCGTGATCGCCTCGGGAAGCCCGTTCCCAAGTAATGGTTTGGTGAACCTATAATTTATAGAGTCCACGTCCTGTATCGCCTTACTTATCTCCCGAACTCTCTGAGTAGTAATCATCTGAGACGTGGGACTAGCTTTTCAGTGCACACACAGGTCTTGATCAGCTTTAGCTTAAGGATTTGGGGGTGGGGAGGGATGGAGAGAAACGAGATTAGCTTCCAGTCTTCAAACCAAAGAAACAGGAATATAAAACCTCTGTGCCGTTTCTCTGGACCTCAAGTTTCTCAAAAAAGACAGTTCAGGCCCCACAAACAAACCTGTGGCTGGAACAGCTCTTGGAATGAAAGGGCTCCCCTCCTCCACAATACCTTTATCAAATTCAAACTATTTCCCACATTCCTTCCTTACATGGTCCAGGCACCCTGTGACGCAGGCCTCAGAGCAAATTCCTCTTTGGAGATCCAGGAAGCTCTGAGTTGGCCCTCATCTTAGAAAGGAAAGTCCAAGTAAAGAGGGGTGCCACACCCCAGGGGAGGGGAGAGAGACTGACAACACCTCCAGGAATGCAGGGCCCACGCAGGTGCGTTGGCACCCGTGAACTTCCTTTTTTAAAGGGCCTGATAAATCAGTACCTATAACAGAATGGAACACAACCACTCACTGATTGCTCACAATGTGCAGGGGCTGTGCCCCTGGCATGACCCTGGCTGTTGGAGAGAAACGTGACAGTTGAGAATCAATAATCAATACTGCTCGAAGTGGGATATGGGGACCCTTAGGAGTTCCTGAGACCTTCCTAGGAGGCTCTCAGAGCCAAACCTGTTTTTACAGTAAGATGTTACTTGTTCTCACCCTTGTCTCACAGGTCCACTTGGAGTTTTCTAGAAAGGATGATGTAACGATATTGGAATATGCACTGTGTATTCTGGAGTTTTACATTCTTTACAAAATTCTTATGTTTGTCTTAATATGTTGAATACTGACATACCGACCACACAGAAACAAAATACTTTGGGGCCCTCCATAATTGTTAAGAGTATTAAGGAGTCTTGAGATCAGTCCAGCTGCCCCACTTCATTTCAGGCTCCACCTGAGTCACATAACAGGTGATTTCAAACAGGGGGTGGAAAAGGCTGAGTGATTGTATTATTATTCAGCCTGAGCCAGTATTCTTTCCATCTGTGCTTCCGCTCAAGAACGGCCAGGGGAATCTTAATCCCCCCACAAACATTTAGTGAACTGAACTGAAAGATCAGCTGCTCGCCCATGAACCCAGGTGGGGCAGAGTCAGCACAGAGGACCCACACTCCCTCAGCTCCAGCACCCAACAGGCAGGGCTGAGTCCCTGCTAGGGGTCAGTTTCCCCCTGTGGTGCCTGCACACTGGGAGCTTTCATCCTAGGGCAGAGGTGGGTCCGCACCCTCACATGGAGGCAAACATGGGGGAACTGGAATTTGTCACAAGTGCTGGGAAGGAGAGAAACCCGGTGTTTGGGGAAGTTTTCCGTCTTTTATCGGGGAATCCAGCTATGGGCATCGAGAGGGAAGGATTCAGTCTTTTGTTATCAGGGCTACAGCTTCGTCACTTGGGCAAACGAATGCAACCCCGAGGCTGTGGTTGGTGGGAACAGCAAATGACCAAGAAAAGGCTGGAGAAGGGGAGCGGACGACTTCAGAGCTTTAAAATAAATAAATAAATAAGCAAAGGAAATAAACAAGCCCTGGATAGACCGGTCTCGGACCGGTCTTCAGGGAAGCCAGCCGGACACGCGAGGGCACCCGGGTCTTCAGTGCACGGTCCCACCCTCGCGGTCCAGCCCGCCCCGCCCCGGGCCTGCGAGGCTGCAGAGAGTCTCCACCAAACCAAGCCAGGGCAGCCCCCAATTTCCAGCCCCCAAACTGCTGCAGCGGCGGGAAAACTTGAATTCTCCAACTAGTTGCCTAAACCACGCAGACGGGTGATGGCGAGCGGTGCCCGCAGCCTGCAGCGCCCCGGAGCAGGAGCCGGGCGGGGGGCGGCGGGGACGGGCTCCACAGCCCCGGGCGCGCCCCCGCCCGCAGCCGCGCGCGGACTCCCGCCCGGGCCGGGGCAGCAGGCGCGCACCCGCGCCTGCGCGGAGCCCCCGCAGCGCCCGTTCTCCAGGTGCGCCTGCGCTTCCGGCCGGCCTTGTTGGGACGGAAACCCGGAGCCCGCGCATGCGCCTCCAGCTCTCCTGCTAGGTCCAGCGAGGAGGCGGGCCCCAGCGCCAGGTGATCCCGCCCCTCCCTCTCAGCGAGGAACCAATGCGCGGCGGTGGGCGGGACTTTCACGAGAGTGGCCCGCCCACGCGCGGGCGAGCCGTGTCTCGATTGGTTGGCGCCGCGGGCGCAGGTGCGCGCTTCCTATTGGATGTGGGCGGAGCGCGAGCCGCCGAGTCTTCAGCGGAGGCGGCAGGTGAGCGCGCGCACGCGCCGCGCCGCTCGCCCGTCTCGGGTGCGCGCGCGCGGGCGCGCGCGGGGGAGGCGGCCGGAGCGCGCTGAGGCGCCCGTCGCGCGGCTCCGCCCCCTCCCCCTCCCCCTCCCCCTCCTCCTCCGCCGTCGCGGCCGCCGCCGAGGCCCGAGGCGAGGAGCCGCGTCCCCGCCCGCCGCGCGCCAGTCCGACCCTCGGGCCCGCCTCGCGAGGAGCCCGCCGAGCGCCGCTCCCGCCCCGCCGGCCGCGGCCGCCCCTCTGCAGGTGCCTGTGAGGCGGCGCCCGGGCCGCCGCGCCCCCGCGCCCCGCGCTCCCGAGGCGGCCGGGCCGAGGAGGCCGCGCGGGCGCCTCAGCATGAACCGCGGCCACCGGCACGGGCCGGGCGGCGGCTGCCTCGGCACCATGGAGGTGAAGAGCAAGGTGCGCGGCCGGCGCGGCGGGCGGGCGGGGCGGCCCGGGAGCGGCCCGGGCGGCGGGGGGCGGCGGGGGGCCCCGCCCGCCGGGTGGGTGATAAACTTGGGGCGCAGGGAGCGAGGGGCCCGCGCGTCCGCCCGGCCGGGGGGCGCCGGGTCGCAGCCCGTCGCCCTCACTCCTGCGCGCGAGGGGGCGCCGGGGACCCCGCGGGAGGCGGGCGGCGCGGGGGGCTCGGCCCTGGCCGGCGGGGGGAGGTGCTGGGGCGCCCCGGCCCTGAGCCGGCCCTTCCCGGGGCGCCCGGGGCCTGCCGTGGGGCGGGCGCAGCCCGGGGCCCCGCAGCGCCCCTGCAAAGTTCGCTGCCCGTCCTCGGGCGCCCCGCGGGCGGGCGGGTGACCCGCGGGGGCGCGGGGGCGCTCGCGGGGAGCAGCGCCCCTCGGGCTGAGCCCGATGCTCTGTCAGCCCCTCGTCCTGCCCCGCGCGCCGGGGGTCACCCTGGGCCGGGCGGGCCATCGGCGCGGCGGCGTCCGGGAACGCCGGGGTGTGGGGCGCCCGGGGCAGGGCTGTCTCGGGGGACTCTTGGGGACGGCGCTGAGAGGGGCGCCGAGAGGGGCTGGAGGGCGGTCGGCGGCCCCTGGGGCGCTCTCAGCAGACATCTCGGGCACTGCAAAGGCGCCCAGGTGCGCGGATCCGATTCTCTCAAGCCCAGGCTCAGAAAGGTTCGACTGGGCCGAGCTCTGCTTCCAGGGCAAGACCTCACGCCCTGTTCATAGAGCAATGGTTGGACTTTCTAGACTACGAGAGAGAGGACACGGCCGGGCCCTGAGAACATTTGAAATGCAGTCGGGGGGCTCTCCCATGCATTCAAATTGAGGTGCCTGCCCCTTCTCAAGAAGGTGGGGGGCAGAGAAAGGGGAGAGCTAGAGAACAGAAGCCCTGGGGCTTATACCAGGGCTTTGGGGATAACGTTTTCATTCACTAAAAAAAGGAATTGGGAACACAAAGGGTGTGGGGCAGGGAGTTTGGGGGACCTTGTTGGAGGGAAGGTGAAGTTTTTGATTTTAATCCCCACATCACTATCACTTTGTTCTTAAATAAAGAAGCCTGGGACGTAGAAAGAAAAATAAATAAATAAAATGCAGTTGGGAAGACCAAGCCGCGTCAAGGAGCAGGAGGAGAGTAACAGCGTGCATGTCAGCTGCAGTAATGAATGCCGTGGAATGTGAGGCTGCTGCCCGAGAGAGAGCGACATCAGGGAGTGATGGCCAGTGGAGCAGAGTCAGGAAGGCTCCCCAGAGCCTGTGGGCACGATGCTTTTTATTAGGTGCCGCTGACGAAGTTCTGTAAGTCGCTCGTCATCACATCAGGAATATCTAGTCATTTTGAGTGTCACTTTACAGTTATTTGCAGTTTAACTCGTGTTCGGGTAGGCACTGGCTGCAGAAACCGTTTGGTTTAATAAGAATAGAAATGTAATTACAGCAATTTAAGGAATCGCGCTCTTCCCTGCCCCCGGTGTGCTCCGAGGAGCTGCGGCGCAGTGGAGCAGCATGTTTGAGCTAAGGGTTCAGATGACTCAATATCTAGCGCTCTTCTGGTAGCACTGCAGTGGTGGTGGAGGCTCTGTGCCCAGGGATTGAACCCTTCCATGGCATTTCTGTTATAAATCTGGTTTGGCTTTGGGGGAGTGGAGGTTAAGAAAAGAGATGCTCCTCGCTGTTGCATAATCCTGAAATTCACTTCGTGGTCCTTATCTTGGTGGCAAGACTTTAATTTTTTTATCACAGAAAAAATGAGTAGGGATTCTAGGTGCACTGATACATACTATCCAGTGGTTAGTGATTTATCTCTCAGTCTGGGGAACCTTGAGCTCTCCCGGACTGGAATTTCAGGCTTTCTGCCCTTCTGTTCTGTCAACTGATTAGTGAGTCTTTCCCGTACTTAACTCTAAACTACTTGTTAGCATTGGGCCTGCCACTGCGCTTGCAGGAACCATGTCTCTTAAGTAGAATCAAGGCGTTCTGAGATCCCGACCCCACGCAAGTGGGGTCCCTCGGTGGTTCTAGCTGCTAGTAAGTGGGCATAGTAGAGCTGCTGTTGCTGGTATGTCAGTGACACCTCCTGGTTTAAATATATGTTGTTGATGCATATATTTTCAGGGTTGTCTTCTTGACCAGGTTGTGCAGATTTTTTAAACTATTTCCTTTTATGCTGCCCTCGCGATACTATCACAGCTTTTTACAAAACTGATCACCAAGAGGTTGGAGCCACAACTGTATGGTGTGCACGTCCTCCTTTTCAGGTTCTCAGCATCGTAAAACAGTAGCGAGTCAACTTCACCTTTGTTCATGAAAGTGGAAATGGTACAAATAATTAAAATAATGGGTAATGGAAATATAACTATAGTTAAATTGTAATAGCAGCTACCATGCGACTTTTTAAAAAAAAAAAAAAAAAAAGATTTATTTATTTATTTATGCACACAAGAGCTGGGGTATAGGCCAGAGGTGGGGAGGGGATGAGAGGATTCACCAGAGACAGAGTGGGGAGCAGAACAGGCAGATTGACTGAAACACACTGCTGAGAGGAGCAGTGGGCCAGACAGGAGAGGTCTGCTGAGCCATGTGGTTCAGCTCCCTGATGGGGGATCGAACTTGTGCTGCAGTGGCTGTGGATTGCTTCATAGAGACTTAACCCCTTGCACCACCAGGGAGACCCCATCTGACTTTTCTTTAGTAACTGATTTATCTTCCTGATTCTTCAGGGATGGGGAAGTTCTTAATAATCAAGGTGGTGTCCTTTAATAACCTTGGGAAAGTCTTTGAGCTGTACATTTCCTAATTATTCATAAGCAAACAATACTAACGTTAAGTTTGCATTTCTCAAATGTACCAACAGATACTGGATAAAGGTGTCCGTCACATTCTGGATACCTAGGACAAACTCCACTGGCTAAAAAAAAAAGTTGTCATTGGTTCACATAGTGAATAGTTGCAGATGAGTCTTTATTTTCTCTCAGTATTTTTCTTCATGTGGTAAAAGGTTCTCTTAATCCTATTGTTTTGCTGCAAGAGTCATAGCAGTTTTTTTTCCTGCTAACATTTGCAAAAGGGCACATCTACTGTGAAGCCATACAGTTTTCCATTGTTTTTAAGCAGGAGAAAAAAATGTTGAGCAAAGAATTTTCATCCAACAGCATCCAGAGCAAAAGCATTGAAACTCTGAAATGTCCAGTTATTAGATGTTGCTCCCATTCACGCAGCAGGGGAAGTGGTAAGCCTTGGGATGAATTAGAAAGCACTGGGCACTTTATGTTGTAATACCGGAATAAAGAATCTGGAGGAGAAACTGTGACTTTTGATAACATCATAAGACTAACTGATATGAAGGGTGTTCCCAAGTTTTTATTTACTTTGAAATGTGAAGGCGTGACTAAGCTTTTTGAGCACCGTAGGTATGAGTCACTTATTTTCTTGTCGAAAGTTAGTGTTTGTTTCAGGAGTGTGTTTTGAAACTCTTAATTATTATTAGAGTTAAGAGATGGTTTTGGTGAGTTTTTATGTAAATTTAATTAAAAACTATTATATAAACAAGACTAAATGAACTTCGTAAATACAGCCAAAGCAGTGAGTCCAGATGCCACATAGGGTCCTGGGGAAAATGAATGGACACATTTGTAAGTTCAAATTCTGATAGGGACTTGCTCTGCCTGATAAATGTCTAAGCTTGTCTTAGTAGTACATTAGTATTCCTTGTTCATAAAAGATACCAAAAGGAAAAGTTAATTCAGTGGGCAGACACATATGGGAAACATTTGTTTTATTTTTTTTTTTAATTAAAGCAAGCATAGGACTTAACTGAGCTTTTAATATCTGGGCTCCACAGTGATTCCTAAGAACGTGATTATAGTTAGGTAGCAGTTCCCAAACTTACGTGACTGAAACCCCTTCTAAGAAAAACTCACTAATCTTTCTTAGATTTCCACATGAGGCAATGCTTTACTATCCCCATGGAAGTCATAGTTCCATTTATCATGGACGAGATGAAACCAGTCCTTGGAGTTGATAAGAACCACTTTTTTAGGTGTGATTGTAGGAATCAGAGCTGTGAAGATGAATATTGAGCACGATGAAGGTGTTCAGTCCTCTCTGCCATCCCTTAATACCTCTCTGTAAATTTTTCTCTTTACCCAGTAATTGGTGACCTGGAGCAAGGCCCCAGCCTGTCAGTCTCTAGGGCCTAGCACTGTGCCAAGCACATAAACACTTCCGTTAATTGGACACTTGTAGGACCTAGAGTTGATGTGTTAATGAAGCTTTCCTTTTTGGCATTAACAGAAGGTAGATGCGTCTCATCCCTAGACCTCTGACTTATATATGATAAACCTCCATTCGTATTGTATCTTAATGAGAAGACGCTGAAGCCTTTTGTGTCTGTTGCTGTTAATTCTTGCCACTTCCTGTGAAATCATTATTCCTTCTACAGGGCAGGAAACTTGAATGCTTTTTGCTAATAATGGTCAGGATAAAGACTGGCATCTTTATTGCCCGATGGTTTGAGGAGAGTCGTGCTGTCAGGGTCTGGGCTCCAGATGGGCTTGAGCTGAGTCACTTTGCAGGACTGTCCCTGGTGAGGCCCCACGACCCCAGGGATTGAGTTGAGCCTGCCTCTCTTGAAAGGAGTGGAATAGAGGAGGCACATTCCTGTGCTTTTCCTACGCTGCTTTATCTCCAGATAATGAGGTTTCTGCCTGTATCATTGGAGCTGTTTTCTTGATTAAGGAATAGCATAGGCCTGTTCATTTGCCTATGGTATGTTTTTTAAAATTGGGTCCTGTTACTTTTGTTTTCTTGTTTTGTTCTAATTAATTAATCTCTTTATTATACTTATAGTTTGGAGCTGAATTTCGTCGATTTTCACTGGAAAGGTCAAAGCCTGGTAAATTCGAGGAGTTCTATGGATTACTGCAGCATGTTCATAAGATACCCAACGTTGACGTCTTGGTGGGCTATGCGGATGTCCATGGAGACTTACTGCCTATAAATAATGATGATAATTATCACAAAGCTGTTTCAACGGCCAATCCGTTGCTTAGGATTTTTATACAAAAAAAGGGTAAGTACCACTGTTTAGAAAAATTGTTTTAGAGATAGTAGTTTTTCCTCATTGATAAAATGCACACACTCTGCCATAAACTTCATGATAAGCATTTTATGTGAAACTTCTTACTATATTACCTAGGAAGTAGGTTAAAACACTCATGAGATTGTTGGTTTAATTGGTATGTCTGCAGTTTGCTAAGTATACTTTAGAAAATGTCTGTAATTAATTATAACTAATTAGATTTTTTAATAGACATCGGGACTATTGAATCTTGACGTCATTGAATGGAATTTCATTCAGAAAGATGTGGTAGAAAAAGTCTCACTTGGAGTCAGAAACAGTCTAGTTTTTTGGTGGTAACTCTCTTCACCACTTACCGATACCTGCAGCCAATGTTTACCCTTCCTGGGCCTCATTGTCTTTATCTGTAGCAGAAGCATGTTATCACATAGGATCACTAAGCTGAGTGCAGTACCCTGGCACGTAGCAGGCATCTCCTGTAAATGACTTTTTTCCCCCTTTGTCTTTTAGGGTATTTTCCATAGAAATAAAATTACCTGGAGAATTAGATGCATTATTTTAGAGGAATATAAACATTGATATTAATCTTATACAAGATCGTTTGAAGTAACCATATGGCAAGTGTGGTCAAGTGTATTTTGGTGGTTTTTTTTTTTTTTTTTTTTTGCGTAGAAGACCAGGTGTAGGCTAAAGATGCAGGGGGCAAGAGGATTCACCAGAGACAGGGTAGGGGGCAGTACAGGCAGATCTACTGAAATACACTGCTGAGGGGAGCAGTGGGTGAGACAGGAGAGGTCTGCTGCGCCATATATGGGTCAGCTCCCTGGCCAGGGATCAAACTCAGGCCTTAGTGGTGAGAGTGCTGAGACTTAACCCCCAGGCCACCAGGGAGGCCCATCAAGTGTATTTTGTGTCCTAAAACTTTTCTTTTTCTATCTTTGTAGCTTCCTGTATATGTCTGTTATCTGTTGGTAGGCAGGGTGTGGGCCTTTTATTCCTTTGTCTGTGGTAGATGAAGAAATTTGGAAAGCCTTCCTAAGAGGAGCTGACCCAGAGTCTGGGGATAATGTAAAGCTGTTTGTGAACTGACCCAGAAAGCAGTAGAGGGGATGGATAGAGGTTACCCTTGAAGAGGAAACTTTATTTCCAATCAGTTGATAAGCATTGGACCACTCCCTGGGCTTTGAAATTCCACTGATCATTTATCTTGGCTTTTCTGGGTTTAAAGGAACTAAAGTCCGCCAACAAAATAAACCCCCAAGGGTCACTCTCACTTAGCTATTTACAAAATACTTACAAGCACACAAATTAATTTTCCCAAAGACCCCAGAGATCTATTTCTTAGATAAGTTGACAGGGGCGTGGCACAATTAGAGCAGTACTTTAGCAGATTACTGTGGCTGTTTGGGATGCACTGGAGCGGGCAGGATCTGTCTTGGAGGAGAAAACAAAGAGCAGGCAGGAAAGCTGGCTGGGAAGCTGGCTGGTGAAGGGGTCGATGGGGAAAGCAGCAGCAGCAGATAAGGGGGGACTATTTGAGAGTCATCGCTCTCGGCTGGATGGTGCAGAGTCTAAGGTGAATCCAACAGAGAAGAGTTCTCTGGGTGTGAGCCTGATGGCTGGGCCACTGCCAAACAAGCAAAATTTGGAAGAGAGTCACTTGGAGAGAAAACTGGTTTGGTTTCAGGACAAATATACTTATCAGGCTGCTGAGTTTCAACCAGGTAGGAAAATGGAAATGGTAGACTGGAGCTTAGGGGAACAGTCAGAGACTAATTAGTTGAAAGTGAGCAGAGAAGTGTGATTTTTAATAAGGCCTAGTGAGATGAAAACCAGGGATAGAGCCTTGGAAAGCCAAATCTAGAATGTTTGAGGAGAAAGAACAGCAGCAGAGGGGAGAAGGACAAACATTTGAGTAGAACTTGTCATTTTATACAGAATAACTTAAATAATTATAGAAGCCTTGTTTGTAGTTGTAATTTATAGTACTATGTACAATGGCTATTTTTAAACTACTACCATCCCACAAAATTTTGTTGGATTGTCCTCTTAATTATAAAGGTTACAGACATTGTTTTTGTTACCACATGTTTTTGTTACTGGGATTGTAACACTTAAATGATTTAACTGATCAGGGAATGAATCTTAACATCTTCTAAAGGTAGTTATCTTCTGCTGTTTCCTTCTTAAATATATGTATATGTGAACAGAAATTTTCTGTGTCATAGAGGTAAACATCCAGTGCAATTAAAAGCCCTTAGAAGTTGATTAATAGGCAGCTCATCTTTCAAAATACTTAAAAATATAACTGAATACAAACACAACTGAAGCAAAAAATGAAGGTAAAATGGTCAGTTCATTCCTGCTTGAGAGCCTCCAGTGGCTTCTCATTGCACCCAGACGAAAATCCTTCCTGATTTGGACTGCATGACTGCCTCGTCCTCCCAGGCAGCCACACTGACCTCTTTCTTCCTTCCAACTTGGTAAGCTTGTTACCAAGCGTACCTGTTACCAAGTAACTTGTTACTCTGCCTCTGCACTTGCCCTTCTGAGAATGTTTTCCCTGCAGCTCTTCCACCATGACTGCCTCTGTCCTTCAGAGGGGTCTCAAAGCCCTTCCGCCTTTGTCAGATTTCCCTCTGAAGACCTTAAACAAAGCTCAGCAGATGCTTAACTAGAAAGCTGGCTTTATGTAAACCTTCATACACATTAAATTCAAGAACCTAACATAAAGAAGGTTAAGTATAGTTACATTTTGTTGCTTAATTACAACACATTTTGTTTTCCTGGTTTGTTGATTTCAATTAGAAGATGAACAAGGCAGCAGTAAAACTAGATAGGTAGCAAGTTATTTTTTAAAAAACAAAATTTTAAAACAAATTAAAAAATTTTAAAACTCAAGCTCCTCCAAAATCTGATACCCTATCAACTTTCTTTGAAGTGAAAGCTCACAATTGAATGAATAAACTGCTCTGTAGCCTAAATTCCAAGATGGCATTGTTGCATATCTTAAAAGGTTTTATGATAATTTGCTAATAAAAGAAAAACAGCCGTTTCTAGGGTTGTTATCACAGAAGCAAAACCAAAACAAACAATCTGCTATCTCAGAAGTTACTTTCACAAAGAGGATTCCCTGGTCTTTGCCAGTCCCCACTCCCTACTGGAGCACCGAGTATCCTCATTTCTTTGGGAGAGGGAGATTAAAGCCCGGGGAATAGAGTCTCCTGCCCTTGTTATGTAGGTTATTACAATTTTACAAAATATTTAAAGGTTACTCCTTTAAAAGAAAATCGTGTCCTTTCTGGAATGGAATACAGCCAGGGAAGGGTGGGGTTTTAAAAGCTTCCCAGCCAGTCGCTATGCTCAGCCAAGTCTGGGGCTCATTGATATGCACAGACTCCTCGCCAGATCTGATCAGAGTATCTGCACCAAAACTTGTTGCTCTGTCACAGTGTGTTTTGTACAGTATGAGACAAGTGCGTTTATACCTTGGGTTTATTCAGGGAGTTTGTTGAAAGCACGAGAGGGACCTTGCTGTAGACAGGGCATGACCTTGTGGCCCGCACCCCCATTGCCAGGCAGGCAGCTCGCCCATGTCTTAAAACTCCCGGCGCAGTGGACATGCTTTTGAAGGTGTATTTTACATAATTGTACTTTGTATACTTTACTAAATCTGGGTTTAATTTAGAACTGGTCTAAGGGATGTACATTTTTATACTAAATGGTAAAAAACAGTTAACAAAGATTTGGCCCCAGAAATGAAAAGTTAAAGGGCCTCCCCTGGTGGCGCAGCGGTTGAGCGCTGGGTTGTGATGCTGCCTGCAGCCTCTGCAGTGCCAGTTTGATCCCCGGCCACCGGCAAGGGTCCCACAAAAAAAAAAAAAAAAAAAAAAGAGAGAGAGAGAGAGAGAGAGAAATGAAAAGTTACAGAAATGTGGCATAATGGCTTGGAATATGACACCAGATGCTGGTTACAGAAACCTGGGTGTCACCTTTGACACATAGCTATTTTTTTTTTTCTTTTTTTAATTGAGGTGAATGGTTTGCAACACTGCATGATTCAGAGGCCTATTTTTCAGTCAGTCACCAGGCCTATTAAAACTGTGTTCTAATTATTTTTCAAATTTATTTCCCCATCTCCGCTGCCTTCACTCCGGGCCAGGTATCATCTTAAATCACAGCAGCAGCCTGCCGTCCTCACCCTTAGGTCCGCTCTCCAGCAGCTAGCATGAGCCTTACAGAAACACACAGTCCCATTACTCTCAGGCTGGAGTATGTGAACCTGAACACCCCAGGAACCCTTGCTTGTCTTTGCCCTTTGGCCGCCTCTGACTGGGCTCTTAACTCCTCCTCCTCCGTCCTGGCAGCCCCCTCAGCCCAGCATCCTCACTCACTGTGCTGGACTCCTAAGGCTACCGGCCCGGACTCTTCTCTGGTGGTGTGTCCTGTGCGGCCTTCTTCCCTCCCTTTTACCTGATGAGCCGCCAGCTTCCTTTCCAGTCTCAACTAAGTCTCACTGGGGCAGCCCTGCTGTGCCCTTCCCACCACATGGGGTTCCTATTCGCAGACACCCCAGCGCGGTGCACCCCACTGCCTGTGGGATGATTCTGGTTATTTGTTCATCACCATCTCCCCCTTTAGCCTAGAAGCACCTGAAAGCAGCTCCTTTCTGTCTCGGCGGAGTCTGCAGCACAGAGAGGCACAAGCCTGGCCTCATGGAAGCTGCTTAGAAAACATTTGGTGATTGATTTTTCTTGTATTAGGAAGCGAAAGGATCTGTACAATTTGAATATTGTTTTAAGTGATGTTTAATCCTTTTAAAGTTGCCAGATCTATTTCATTTAACCTTTTTGGATTAGAACAAGGCTTGGCACACGAAGGCTGGAAGGCTCCGCTGGCTGTTTTTGTAAATAAGGCTCTCTTGGAGCCCAGCCATGCTCCTGCCTCTATGCATTGCCTGTGGCTGCTTCTGCAAGAGAGACTGTGTGACCGCAGCACCTACAGTAGTTACTAAATAACTCTGGGAAAGGGTTGTCAATTCTAGTTTAGAACAACTTCAGTCATTTTTCCTTCTTCCCTGTCTTGCCGAATTTCAAACGGGATAATCGTGAACTTTCTGGATAAGTCTACCATGAACTGTTACTGTGCAGAGATGCCGACGGGGTCTGTATAGTGCTTCCTCCTCCCTATCTCTTAGGCTCTTATTTCTTCCACCTGTTCCCGAATCTCACTGGTGCCCCCTTATTTACCCCTGACGCTGATTCTGTGACTTAGGACCGGAGCCCGCGGGTGAGATAGCTGCTCTTCAGAATCAGTGTTTGAAGAGTAAGAGGTCAGAGGAGGGGCTGCAGGACCTTCCAGGGCTTTAAGCACAGGAACTTTCCATGTGCGAGGAAGCAAGCCACCCGGGCTCATCAGAGGCTTTGCAGGGGGTCCCAGTTCTTGCAGTTGGCTGAGAGTGTCTGCTGGGGACCCAGCTCGGGGTAAGTGCGGTTGCTGCTGTGGGACCCTGTGCCACGCACTGTTGCTGGGTGTATGCCAGCGGGAGGTTGCTGCGAACCAAATTTCCAAACTTTGTGTGTCTCATTCTAACTTCAGGGCTTTGGATATACATACTCAGGTGGAAAGTCAGCTCCTGTTCCCAGTGGACGTTCACCTTTACACTTTAAACTAACACTATGCACCCTGGCTTTCTGCCAAAATATTTCTTTTCCCAGTAGCTGGAAACTGATTAGCTAGATGGGAGAACAAAGGTGCCTTTGTACGAGGGCGTATTGCTTTTGAGAATTTAGCAGAGAGCATTCAAACAGTGTTTGGATGCAATGCCAAATTATGCAGATTTGGGGGCATTTTTGGTCAGGTTTCCCATGAGTAGGTATGTGGGCAACTTCATTTTGTTCTCAGTTTGCAAGGTCTGAAATTTCCTTTGTAAATGTTTTGTGTGCTTTCTTAATTGATTGTTTCAAAAAGAAGATAACTTTAAGAAAACACAGTAAGCAGAAGGCCCTCTGGATAGATTTTTGGCCTAATTTTGCCAAAAAGATTCTTATGTAATGAATTATTTCTGAAACCAAATTATAAATGTATTTCTGTCTTTGTAAGAACACGGTGTAATACTTTATAAATGAACACAAATAATTATCCCCAGAGGGGAAAATGTCAGTAAGTAAGGCGCCCTGGTCTTGCACATCTTTCTGAAATGAACTCTTGAAAATGCGTTCAAGCAACACAAGAAAAGGGTCCCCGGGCCCTCTGCACTTGACACACTGGTGCTTAAATCCTCGTGTGAATGTCTCAGGTGTGTAGGCCTCGTGAGCAAGCCTGGATCTGGTCTTTTCTCTTGGGCCCATTTTGCACCTTTAATTCCCTGGTCTAAAGTAAAGATGACAGCAGCTCATCAGTCAGCAAGGGTGAGGGTCCAGTGAGATGCCAGCTGGAGCCTGTGCAGATGCAGGAGGGTGGTGGGTTCTGTGGCGCTAGCCAGGCTAGGATTTTGAGCTCGTTCTTGGCGGGAGGAAGGAAGTCTTTTGTCTTTTTTATTAAACATTTTCTTATCCTTGAAAAGTCTGCCTTTTTAGTTTATCCCCATTCCATCGTCTTTGCAACATGGTTTCAGACTTAGGCTCCTGCGGCTGTAATTTCATTTCCATTTCTCCCTCATTCTCTGCTGAAATACTTGGTTCGTAGACTCCTCCTTCGGCCGTGTGACCGTAGAATACCTGGGGTTGGGAGTCCTGCTTTCCCTTAGTTTCTATCACAGGCTGTAAATTGCTGCTGTGAAGGAGGAATTCAACCCCCACATATTATTTGGCCCAAAAAGGTTTTCTGTCTTTAATTAGATGTCAGCATTTAAAAAGGGGAAGATTTCTACCTAAAAGACAAAACTCTCTGGCAATTTGGGTTCAGCCACACAAATTCCTAGTCTGCGAAGAAAAACTGCCCTGAATGAGGAGCAGCTGTGTCCTCTAAGTAGGGCAGGAGCCCTCCACTTGCCCTCCCGGCCACGTCCTATTGTCTGTGTCGCCCCCACTGAGGGAGTATCACTGATTTATATTGTTTTCACACAGTAAAGAAAAGGGTTAAAAATATTATAGCTCAGGGCCTCCCTGGTGGCACAAGGGGTTAAGACGTAACTTATGACGCTATCTGCAGCCTCTGCAGCATGAGTTCAATCCCCAGCCAGCCAGGGAGCTCCCCACATGGCACAGCAGACCTCTCCTGACTCTTCCACTGCTCCCCTCAGCAGTGTATTTCAGTCAGTCTGCCTGTCCTCCACTCTGTTTCTGGTGAATCCTCTCACCCCCCGCACCTCTGGCCTGTACCCCAGTTCTTGTATGCATAAATAAATCTTAAAAAAAAAAAAAGTGTAAGATTTACCAGAATTTCATTTGCCATATTTAATGTTTTTTTAATTTAATTGTATGATTTTTTTTATTGTGGTAACATTCAGTTACAGCAGCTTAATTTTGAATAGTCATTGAAGTGTAGCAAATTTAACCTCAGCATTTGTTAATTTTATGATGTGTGCTTGAGAGGGCCACCTAGTGGTTTTTTCTGGAATAATGTATCACTACTGTACTATATTTTGATCTAGAATAAGCTAATATATAACTAATTCCTGTGCTAAATATATTTGAGTTTTCCTTTCTGCACTGATTTACCTGCAGCTAAATGGATGTTTTTAACAGCAGTTCTATAATTATTTTACTTTGTTTCAAAACAGAAGAAGCAGACTACAGTGCCTTTGGTACAGACACATTAATAAAGAAGAAGAATGTTTTAACCAATGTTTTGCGTCCTGACAACCATAGAAAGAAGCCACACATAGTTATCAGCATGCCCCAAGACTTCAGACCTGTGTCTTCTATCATAGACGTGGATATCCTCCCAGAAACGCATCGTCGGGTCCGTCTTTACAAATATGGCACCGAGAAACCCCTAGGATTCTACATTCGGGATGGCTCCAGTGTCAGGGTGACCCCGCATGGCTTAGAGAAGGTCCCAGGGATCTTTATATCCAGACTTGTCCCAGGAGGTCTGGCTCAAAGCACAGGACTGTTAGCTGTTAATGATGAAGTTCTAGAAGTTAACGGCATAGAAGTCTCAGGGAAGAGCCTTGATCAAGTCACAGACATGATGATCGCAAACAGCCGCAACCTCATCATTACAGTGAGGCCAGCAAACCAGAGGAACAACGTGGTCAGGAACAGTCGGGCTTCTGGCAGCTCCGGCCAGTCTACTGATAACAGCCTCCCGGGCTATCCGCAGCAGACGGAGCCAAGCTTCGAGCCAGGGGATGAAGACAGTGACGAGGATGACATTGTCATTGAAGGTAACGGAGTGCCGCAGCAGATTCCGAAAGCCGTCCCTAACGCCGCGAGCCTGGACTCGTTGACACAGATCGAGCTCAACTTTGAGTCTGGACAGAATGGTTTTATTCCTTCAAATGAAGTGAGCTTGGCGCCCGTAGCGAGTGGCACAAACACAGACTTGGAACCACATGCTCCGGATCAAAAACTCTTAGAAGAAGATGGCACAATCATAACACTATGAAACTGCTGTTTCGAGTGTTTTCTGAGTGGGAATGCCAGGGGGAACTAGATTTGGCTAGTTCGAAGCATACACATACCTCTGGTCCAGAGACTGGGAATAGGCATGCGAAATAGTGATGCAAACTTCACATATGACCAAAATAATAATTGGATGATTGTTCATGTAAACCTTGGTGGGTCAGAGGTGATTTTAGTCTAAATCAAAGGGGCCTTTGCTGATGGGACGGTGTGCTTTTGCTGCCCTGTCTGGAGAGACCTGGCGTGCGCGCGCTGCCGGGAGTGCCCTCGGGCTGGAGGGCCCTGCTGGGGTGGCGGCAGCTGGCCCGCTGTGCAGAGCTCACTTCATTTCCCCTTTAACTGCATTTTGAAAAATTCAAATGTGAAAAAGTCTGATTCGCTTTTGGTACCTGGGAGGCCTCAGTTTTTATGTTCCCAGTGTTTCGTTTTGATTTTTGTAGTGGTGTTCCCCTGTTGCTAATTATAACAAGTAATTTTTTCAAATGCTTTTTTTTCCCTAATTTCTAAGAAATCAAACCAGTGTACTATTTTTAGGGGTTGCTTCCTCTGTTACAAAGCATTGCTGCTTTGTCCCTGAATTGTGAAACTTTCTAACGCTTGTTCAGGTTCACCTTTGTCCGTCCTGTGCTGTCACTCCACTCCAGGTAGGCCTGACCTAGCTTAGAAAGGCGGTTCCAGGGACTCTGGCAACAGGGAGACTTTCTCTCTTGACCAATTTCTTGTCCTTATTCCCAACCTCATCGGAGATCATTCCTTTTGTTTTGTGTGTGTGTGTGTGTATGTGTGTGTACTTTGTTGGTGTGCTTTTATACTCTGCTAATGTATTCGAGTAGTGAATCATTTTGGATAAAAATTGCACCCAAATTGAGAGATTTTTTTACACACAGGACAAACTTGTGCACTTTTTGTATGACAAATTTGGGTTTTCCTTAATGGGATTTCTAGGAATACTGCCTACACTTTTTGAAAAAGATGTAGTGTTCACCTTTGACAGGTAGAGTTTATCACTATTAACTTTACGAGGCTATTTATTGCTTCCCAGTGCGTGTCCACTCAGAGCAGGGTGAGCTGCTGGCTGCGCGTGGTGTGCGGGGCCGAGCCTGCTAGGGAGAGCGTGGGCCCGGTGGCTCTTGGCTATTCCTCTCACGGTTATTTATTAATTTTATGGCCGGGCTGGTATGGAGACCTTGATGACAATTGTGTGCTATTAAAACTATGAAGAATCAAATGACTCCGTTTTGAAGGACATTTTCTCTATATGCTAAGAATTTATAAAGAAGTAGAGTCTTGATTAAAGGAAGATCACTTGACTCAGAAGACTTAAGTGTATTTTGTTCACATTACCACTAAACATATTATCACTAATCTGTTAACTGCACATTATATAATACAGTGTACTTTGTTGAATTCACCCAAGTTCTTCCATTATCTACCACTATTTTAATGACATTCCAGCTTTACTTTTATGAGTTACATAATTTAACTCTTGAGTGGCAAAATAATGTTAATATGTAGAAGGTTAAATTTCATTTATATTACAGGTGGTACAGGGGTTCAACATTTTAAGTAAAAATAGTTTCACATTACTACCTCTTTCTCTCTCTCTCTCTCTCCAAACAAAGTTTTAGCATCAGAACTTTTCTCTCGGGGGAAAAATACTTCAGGGCTTGACTTTTTGTACAAATTTTTAACTGTGTAATACAGATTTATTTTGTATGTATTCATGACAAGGGAAATCAAGCTGCTAGGACTTTTATTTGAATTACCTGCTAAGGGTATATGTCACTGGTGTTTGCAGATAGATCTCAGTTAAATATTGGTGAAATAATTGATTGCCAGATGTATGGCTCTTGGTTATCAATAAAATGTCAGTTCCTCGGAAGTCTGAATTATTTCAAGTGTACCTTATTTTAACACAAATCCCAGTGGATTCAGCATAAAATTTTATAGTACTAAATGTCAAGCCTAACTGTGAATTTTGTTCTGTATTTTAAGTAAGATTATGATAATGTTCTCATGAGCTATCAACAAAATATAAGTACTTTTGTGAACTATGAATTTTCTAATTAAATTTTACATGCAACATGATTTTTACATGAATGATACTTTGTTTAAACTATCAAATGTCAGTATTTTACTACAATTTTATTATAAAATGTACATTATCACTAAATGAACTTTGATTTTAAAAATCGAATTAGCTTTAGTTGTATATTATTTTTTACAAATAAAGATAGACTTGCATAAAGGCTACTTTCTTGTTTGCTAACATACGAAAAGTCACCCAACAACCGTCTACCCAGTATCCACCATGTAAAATGTGGAGAGAGCAAGTGAAGTTACGACAAGATCCTGGCTTCCTTTAAAGGTTTGAAAGATAAACACCAAATTGTATGCACATCCTGCAGCTGCCCTTCACCACACACCTGTGTACCAGAGGGTGTCCTTTCAAGTGCAGTTCAGCTGGTGCTGTGAGAGATCGTGCATGAAGTCCATCCATCCAGAGTTACCATTTACATCGTTCAAGATTATTTGAAACAAAAGCAGTTTGTAATGTGACAGTTTCTCTTGTGAAATTCAAAGTCACTTAGACTTTTAGTCTCTACCCGATACGCTGTTGTCTATATGGACTGAATTCAACTTATATGGAACCATGTAAAAGGCCTGAGATAAAACGGGCCCTCTTACTGAGCCATGTCAAGTCCCAAATTAGCCTGTCATTGGCTTAGCTGGTCTTTGTACTAACTCTTCTGCCGACCAGCATGGAAGATAATCCTGATTCCTTTCCCAGTTCAAAACAACAGGTTGAAAAGCCTCAGTAAGAATTCAATGCCAGGCAGCGCGTCACATCACTGAGTGGTGCGAGGGTGTCACGTCTAATAGGTGATGTTCATCCCTGGGTTTCATGGGCCACGAGACACTGGTGTGGAACTACAACATCCTTTCACCTTCAAAATATATCTCCCTTGCTTTTGTGTCTTAAATCCCTGCTGCCTCCACGTCTGGGTAAAGAATTAAATTTGAGGGCCTCCCTGGTGGCGCAAGGGGTTAAGACGCAACCTATGAAGCTTCCCGCAGCCTCTGCAGCATGAGTGTGATCCCCGGCCAGGGAGAAACCCACATGGAGTAGCAGACCTCTCCTGCTCCCCGCTGCTCCCCTCAGCAGTGTCTTTCAGTCAGTCTGCCTGTTCTGTTCCCCATTCTCTCTGGTGAATCCTCTTACCTTCCAACTCCTCTGGCCTGTACCCCAGTTCTTGTATGCATAAATAAATCTTTTTAAAAAAAATTGGAAGAAAAGTCAGAAATTTAGGAGGGAAAACTGCCCCTCTGTTGTGGTTGTGTGTCTGAAAGTGCTTGAATTAATACCAGCAACTGGTTATTGTTTAATTTCCCCATCTCAGATTGAGGGCAATGATTGTGGGTGGTGGGGCTCGAAGAGCGGACCTCAGTTACCTGGCAGCGGAGCTCTTGGGTGCCTCCTGAGATAGTTTTGACTTTGTTATTGTGACAACAGATCACCTGGTGGTGGTCGCTGTTACGTGGGGGGTAAAGCACACGTGAGCACCTCCTAGCTACTGTCACTTCCATGTCACTTAAGTGCTGGGTGGAAGCCGGCGCCTGGTTGGTAGAATATAACAGAAATGAATCTGAGATTTAATAATTCAAAGTCCTCCATGGGCAGTAGTCTACGAAGTTCTTGCCTAAAAACAAGTGACGTTTACATATGTAAAAGTATCTTCACCCAGTTATTTTACAACATTATTATGAATTAATAAACATCAGCAGGGGTTGTATTTCATTTGCAAATTGGAAAGGGTATTTATTCCAAAATTGGTGTTCTTAATGGAATAGAAAATTGTTAATTTTTAAATAATTAGTTCATTATCGGGCCTCCCCTGTGGCGCAGCGGGTTGAGCATCGCACTGTGAAGCTGTCCACAGCCTCTGCAGCACGGGTTCAATTCTCAGCTGGCCAGAGAGAAACACACATGGCGAGGCAGAGCTCTCCTGCCTCGCCCGCTGCTCCCCTCAGCAGTGTCTTTGGTCAGTCGGCCTATTCTGCTCCCCGCTCTGTCTCTGGTGAATCCTCTCACCCTCCCGTGCCTCTGACCTGTACCCCAGCTCTTGTATAAATAAATAAATCTTTAAAAAAAATAATTAGTTCATTATCATCCTGAAGACTGGATAACAAAGTGGTTAGGAAGTAAAGATAACTTGGAAAATAAATTTCAATCATAGAAATAATATATAAATTCATCTTATGAAAATAAAGCTAAGGTTATTTTTTTGCCACCACGCATTTATTCATTCTTTTTACTTTGTTATAAAAATTAAAGTGGCTTAAAATTTTAGATAATTTATAATCCAAGTCAGGATTAGACTGGGACAACGGGCACAGGCCAGCGCTGTCGTGGGTCAATTCTCATGAGACGCGTGTGGTAGGGCATCCCTGGTGGTGCAGGGGTGAGTTTGATCCCCAGCCTGAGTTTGATCCCCAGCCAAGGCGCTGACCCACATGGCGCAGCAGACCCTCTGCTCCCCTCAGCAGTGTATTTCAATAGATCCTACATAAATAAATAAAAATATTTTCAAAAGATACTGTGGTAATAATGGCTTTCAAATATTTTTTTCAAAACCTCAATCCACGCATTGAGCACTGGTCCAGTACACAGCTATGTGTGAGTAGTGCTGTGTGTGTGTGAATCTTGGTGTGTTAGAAAGTTTACAAAGTGAACCTAAATTTACACATGAAAAATGCCACTTCTCTTCCATTTTTTAAATGTTCGTGGAGATATCCCAATCCAATTTCAATTTTTTTTTTTTTTTTTTTTTGCGTAGAAGAACTGGGGTGTAGGTCGGAGGTGTAGGAGGTGAGAGGATTCACCAGAGACAGAGTGGGGAGCAGAAGAGGTGGATCTACTGAAATATACTGCTAAGAGGGGCAGTGGGTGAGACAGGCGTGGTCTGCCGTGCCATGTGGGTCAACAACCTGCTGGGGATCGAACTCAGACCACAGCAATGACAGCACCGAGACTTAACCCTTAGGCCCCCAGGGAGGCCCCCAAATCAATGTCAAAATACACTATTTTAAAAACTATGAAGCACTTTACTTCGCACTTGAGAGATTTGTCATGAAAAAGATATTTTTTCCCCTAAGGGGGAAAAAGCACTGTCTTTCATGTCTGCATTTTACATCTTGAAATAACTTCAAATTTAGAAAAGAACTGCATGAGAAATACAGCTTACACACTTCACCCAGATTATCCCCACATTTGATTTCTCGACCTCTGTATTTTTTCCTGAAACATTTGAGAATCAACTGTGAGAATTTGGTTCCTTTACTAAAGAGCTAAGCCCATATTCCTAAGGGAAAGGACATTGTCACATATTGTCCCTTATACAACCGTAGTTCATTATCAAATTCAAAGACCTTACATTGATAGAAAAATATCATCTCAGGGCCTCCCTGGTGGCGCAAGGGGATAAGACACAACCTATGAAGCTGTCCGCAGCCACTGCAGCACGAGTTCGATCCCCAGCCAGGGAGATACCCACATGACACAGCAGACCTCTCCTGTCTCATCCGCTGCTCCCCTCAGCAGTGTATTTCAGTCGATCTGCCTGTTCTGCTCCCCGCTCTGTCACTGGTGAATCCTCTCACCCCCTGTACCTCTGGCCTGCACCCCAGTTCTTGTATGCATAAGTAAATAAATCTTAAAAAAAATCTAATACACAAGCCATACTGGACTCTCCCCAGCTGTCCTGATGAGGTTCTTTGCAGAAAACCTGCCCCCTGCCCCAGGACCCCACCCACAACCATGCAAGGCATTTGGTTGCCACAACTCTGCTTCAGACAATCCCTCAGCTTTCCTTGGTTACTCATAATATTGACCCTTTCCAGAAGTAAAGACAAATTGTTTTGTAGACTGTGCCTCAATTTGGATTTGTCTGCTTCCTTGTAATTAGATTCCAGTTATTCCTTCCTGCCATAGGACTAATCCTTGATGTTACATCCTCACTGTGCCACCGCAGGAGGTCCATCGTGCCAGTTAATTTCTGGCATTGTTGATGTTAAAACTCCAGTGGGGAGAAGCTCTGCCGGTTTTCTTAGGCGCACCCGTTATTCTAATTACTCTTCTGCTGATAAACAGGAGCAGAGAAACTTAGGGAAACCAAGGGAAGACATCTCTTTCCAACACCCATTCACAAAGCTCTAGGAAACACTTCCACCGGCTCATCTTGTGCACATCGGACTGTAAACGCCCTTGGTAAAAGCTCAGGCTGCAGCCGGCCCCCCGGAGGCACCCCTTCCTGTCAGTGTGATCTGCCTGGTCATATCGCCAGTGACTGCCCACCCCAGCCCTCAGAGCCCGGCAGGAAGTGAGCGTCTGAACCCCCAGGGGGTTCTGTGCTGGGCTATCTGCCAAAAGAAAGGACTAAAAAGACTCAAATGGGATGAGTCCAGCCCATGGGCTGTGTCTGTCCAGCACCCCTCTCCTGTGCAGCCTCCTAGCAATGCAGGAAGCAGGGAAATCGGATTCCTGGCAGCGTTCCAGACCAAGAGCGGGAACAGAGTCCACGCCAGTGAAACCTAGTTCTTCTAGAACCTACAAGTTCTGTCCCCAGGTTTTTTGTCCTGCCAGTGCCCTGGCGCTGGCCTCACATCTCTGGGAGGTAGGAAGTTGCCTATCAGGTTTTCTCCAGCATTCCCAGAGGCAGCTGTCTCAGGTATGAACCACAGTGACTCGGGCAACAGTGTGTATGCTCAGTGACTCAGAAAGGAAAATCATTCCCTTGGTAAATACCGACAGCACATGCAGTGCAGGGAGCGTGAAGCAGAGGGTTCTAGAAGGTGGGCTTCCCAATAAAGATGATGATGACCACAAGAGCACAGCTGTGCCCAGCAGTCTTGCTCGTGGGCCAGTCACTGACCCTAGAATCACCCGAATCAGAAGGAATGTCGTCAGCAGAGTGCACCAGGTCACTCACAGGGAAGGAAGATGTCGTCTGACTGTCTGGTAAAGCAGAGAAGCGTGGGAAAGTGTCTTAAAACACACAACTTTGACTATCCCATTTTTATTTAGATATATGCATTTACACCCAACCACACAGGCGTCCGTGAACTTGAAATTGAGCGTCTGGCGCACACAAACACACCACGC